TTTACATTACCATCAAACGTGTAAGAGGGTTCTCTTTTCTCCACATCCTCTCCAGCCTATATTATTTGTAGACTTTGATTATGTCCATTCTGGCCAGTGTGTTATGATACCTCATTGTAGTTTTGATTTGTGTTTCTCTAATAATAACTGATATTGAGCATCTTTTCCTGTGCCTAGTGGCCATCTGTATATTTTCTTTGGAGAAATTGTTTTTTTTTTTAATTGAGATATATAAGCTCTTTGTGTATTTTGAAAATTCATCCCTTGTCAGTCATATCATTTGCAAATATTTTCTCCCAGTCCATAGCTTGTCTTTCATTGTGTTTATGGTTTGCTTTGCTATGCAAAAGCTTTTAGGTTTAATTAGGTCCCATTTGTTTGTTTTTACTTTTGTTTCCATTACCCTAGGAGACAGATCCAAAAAAATATTCCTGTAATTTATCAAAGAGTGTGCTGCTTATATTTTCCTCTAGGAGTTTTATAGCATCCAGTCTTATATTTAGAGGAGCCTGGTGTGCTATGGTCCATGGGATCAATGATTGAACAACAACTTACATTTAGGCATTTATTCCATTTTAAGTTTTTTTTTTTTTATAGTACTAGAGTATATTTTAATTTCATTCTTTTACAGGTAGTTATCCAGTTTTCCAAGTGACCTTATTGAAGAGACTGCCTTTTCTCCATTGTATTCTTGCCTCTTTTGATGAAAATTAATTGGCCATAGGTGTGTGGGTTCTCTATTCTGTTCCATTGATCCCTATGTCTGTTTTTGTGCCAATACCACATGGTTTTGACTACTATAACTTTGGGGTATTGTGAAAGTCTGGGTGGGTGCCTCCAACTTTGTTGTTTTTCCTCAGGATTGTTTTTCCTCAGAACTGCTTTGGCAGTTCTGGGTCTTTCATGGTTCTGTATAAATCTTGGGATTATTTATTCTAGTTCTATGAAAAATGTCATGGGTAATTTGATAGTGGTCATATTAACTCTGTAGATTGCTTTGGGTAATATGGCAATTTTAGCAATGTTAATTCTTCCAATCCAAGAACTTGAGGGATATCTTTCCTTTTCTTTGAATCATCTTTAATTTTTTTAATCAATATTTTATAGTCCTTGACATATGTCTTTTTTTTTTTTTTTGACATATATGTCTTTTACTTCCTTGGTCAGGTTTATTTCTGGGTATTTTTTTTACATGATTTTAAAAGGGATATTTTTTAAACTTTCTCTTTCTGATGTTTCATTGTTCATGTAAAGAAATTTCTGTATGGTAATTTTGCAACCTTGCAGAATTCACTCATTAGTTCTAATAATTTTTGTGTTGAGTCTTTAGGGTTTTCTACATATATGGCTCAGCAGGTAAAGAATCTGCCTGCAATGCAGGAGACAGAAGAGACAAGGTTCAATCCCTTGTTCCAGAAGATCCCCTGGAGTAGGAAATGGCAACCCACTCCAGTATTCTTACCTGAAAAATTCCATAGACAGAAGAGCCTGGGCAGGCTACAGTCCAAAGAGTTGCAAAGAGTAGAACATGACTGAGTGACTAAGCATGCACATATATAGCATCATGTCATCTGCATATGATGATAATTTTACCTCTTCCCTTCTGATTTATGTATCTTTTATTTCTTTTTCTTGTCTGATTACTGTGACTAGGACCTCCAATACCATGTTGAGTAGAAGTTGTGAGAATGGACAACCTATCCTGTTCCAGAATTTAGCAGGAAGGCTTTTAGCTTTTCACTGTTGAGTATTATGTTGACTGTGAGTTTGTCATAAACAACTTATATTATGTTGAGATGTGTTCCCTTTATATCTACTTTGATGAGAGTTTTTATCATGAATGGATGTTGAATTTTATCAGATGCTTTTTCTACATCTATTGAGATGATCATATGGTTTCTGTCTTTGCTTTTGTTGATATGGTTGGTATCATACTGATTGATTTGTATATGTTGAACCCTCCTTGCGACTCTGGGATGAAGCCAACTTGACCAGGTGTATGGTCTTTTTCATATGTTGTTGGATTCAGTGTGCTAATATATTGTTGAGGATTTTTGCATCTATGTTCATCAAAGATATTGTCCTGTAATTTTCTTTTTTGGTAGTGTCATTGTCTGGTTTTAGAATCAGAGTGATGGTAGCTTCTTAGAATGACTTTAGAACTACATTTTAACAAATATTTACCAAAACTATTAAGAACACAGATAATACTTATCAAGTCATACTCTGTGCTGGGCATTCTTCTAATTCATTTAATATTCACAACTTCCCAGTGAGATAAAAATAATTATTATTCCCATTTTAATGTTGAAGAAATGAGATATAAGGGAGCTGCATACAAAGAAGTACCCAAAAGGTGGGAATGGTTTAATAAGCTATTTCATATCTACACCACAGAATATGATCCACACATTAAGAAGAATGAATTAGAGCTATACTAACTGACTTAGAGGGGTTTCCATGAAGTGTTGTTTCACTAAAAAGCAATATATAGAAAATTGTGAATGATATGGCCCTATTTTAATAGAACAAAAACAAAAATGTCATATATATCTTCATTGTATTTGATTCTGTGCATTGTGCATAGACTCATGACCAAACAGTCAAAGGCAAACCTTAGGGGTTGGGGAGCAGTCAACAAGGGTGACTGAGGAAGAATGATTAGTAAATGCAGTAAGAAGAGAAACAAGAGAGCAATTTCCAGGAAACCAGATAAAGAAAGTGGTTCAAGAAGAGGAGTGGCAACAATTACTGCTGGATAGAGTAGAATGGAAACATTAGCTTTAGTAACATGGAAATATTTCATGCATTTATAATCTTTTCAAGATTTTTTATTGTAGTGGGGATGGAAGCCTGATTGGAGAGGGTTCAAGACAGAATGGGAAAACTGGGGATATCAGAGACATTTTTGGTCAAATTTTACAAGAGAGTTTTGGTTTAAGAAAAGAAAGGTAAGACAGTAATATACCAGTAGCTGGATGGAAGGGAGTACTTTGTTTTGTGTTGGTTTTTAAGATGGTAATTATTTCAGAACAGTTGTATGCTAATGAAAACAATGTCTTAGAGGAAAATTGTTGATGGAAGAACAAGGAGGCAATTGCTAGACTGATGTTTTAAGAAAAAAAATGTGGAAATGGATTTTAGTACACAGATGGAGGGGGATGGTCTTAAAAGGTGCGTAATGGTTCCTGTATCATAAACAAAATGGAAAGTAGAGTATAGGTACAGATGTTGGGTGTTGGCAGATGAGGTGATGTGTGTGTGGAAGAAAAACATCCTCCAGTTCCTTGTATTTTCAAAGGGAGTGGATGGTTTCACATGATAGAATGTGCTTTAAAGACTCATTTCTTTGGAAGGAGACAGGGACAGTGATGTTGATGAGGAACAAGGAGTTCCTCAGTTACCTCACTTCTGAGCTGTGGGAGATTAAAATAACAAAACTCGGCCTCCTTTGAGGGTGCTGCAGAAGAAGCAGTTTCATTAGGGAAGAATTAGTCTGAGACAGAGCAAGCAGATGGTAATTGACTGAACAATGGCCGCCAACGACATCAGTTCCTTACACTGGAACCTGTAAATGTTACCTAATTTGGGGGGGAAATAAGGTCTCTGCAAATATAATTAAGAATCTTGAGGTGGGGAGTTAACCAGATGGGCTCTAGTTGCAATCACAGGTATCTTTATAAGAGCGAGAGGCAGAGGGAGATTTAACAGATAGAAGATGCCAAGAGAGGGTGCTATGGTGATGGATCAAAGAGAGTTGAAGGTGCTTCCTTTGAAAGCACATCTGGAGTGATGTGACAAGTCAGGGAGTGCCAGCAGCCATCAGAAGCTATAAGATGCAAGGAGTAGATTCTCCCCTAGAACCTCTGGAGTGGACTTAGTCCTGCTAACCTTTTAATTTCAGCCCAATGATATTGATTTCAGATTTCTGGACTTGAGAATTGAGAGAATAAATGTCTGTTGTTTTTCAGTCACTGAGTCTGTAGCTCTTTATTACAGCAGCCGTAGGAAACTGATACACAGGTGAAGCACAGAGTCAAAGAAGAAAGGGGAGAGAGTGGACTTTGTTGAGTATGGACTGTAAGTTCCAGAGAGCACAGGGGAAGTGGAAGGACAGAATTGCAGAGAACATATGGAGTCTTACAGAGCTGAGAGCCTGAGACAAACTCGCGATTGTTGGGTAATGGGTAGCTACCCATTAAATAGGAATAAGTGAAAGTGAAAGTCTCTCAGTCATGTCTGACTCTTTGTGACCCCATGGGCTATATAGTCCATGGAATTCTCTAGGCCAGAATACTGGAGTGGGTAGTCTTTCCCTTCTCCAGGGGATCTTCCCAACCCAGGAATCAAACTGGGGTCTCCTGCATTGCAGGCGGATTCTTTACCAATTGAGATATCAGGGAAGCCCAAATAGGGATATAAGAGAATGATGTAATTAGCACTGATGACCTAAGAGGTAGACTTTGACAGGAGGAAAATGATATACATATATACATCTATAAATGATAATTATGCACATATATCTATTTATAAATAGATAAATGTACATATATTTGACTGTATATGCATAATATGTGTATATATTTACATGTAAGTTTATATGTAGATTTATCATTATGTGCATATATATATATCATCTATGTATATGAATGTGTGTATTTGCATATTATTTTTAAATCATGGAGGAAATTAGAAGTGTAAGCATTTGAGTAGGACAGGAAAAATAATGGAGACAAAGAGGAGAAGAAAAATGCTGGTACTTAGAAAACAAAGCAGAAAGTGAAAGAATATGTAAGGATCACATTTAAGCATTTATGTAAAATTGCATAGGTGTGTATATGTATAAGGAGTTTTTTAATTAATTTAAAATAAACTTATAAAATCATAGTTTGTATAGCAATAAAAGTGCCAAAAGATCTTTTTAAAAATTAGATTGAAGCATATATGATGCTAACAATCTGATCTTAGTTTCCCCTGCATTTGCTCTTTCCTATTTGCAGTTCCCTGCATTTATGATTCTAACTGATCCAGTGTGTACAGACAATTCACCGCACAACAGTTCCAGCCCTCTCTGAAGCCCCTACTTTTTGTCTCTGAAAGGAGGCTGCAGTATTTAGTGGCATCTGTGTGCTAAAAAGGAGTTTGCCTGAGACGATCTTAAGGTAGGTCTACATTGAGAACTTGGTCTTAAAGGAAAATATGGCTAAAAATTTCTGAAGATAGGTATTTACTTTAAAAGAACAGCCTGGCCATCCAAATTTTCTTCTCAGTACCATTTGTCACCAAACAGGCTTATGATTTCAAATCTAGGGTCCTTTCTTGAATGAACTCTAAACAAGCTGTTTCACTCTTTTGCTGGGCAGCTAAAGGCATTGTATTTTTTTTTAGCACCTCTCACCCCTAAGATCTCACTCGTGTTACAGCTTCATGCAACTCTTGGGGCTATGCAGTCTTATCCTGGATCTTCATTGCCCAGAGATAGACTGAGAGAGAAAAAAAAATACCCAGAAGATTGCTAGTTTCTGTGGAGTTATCATACATCATTTCTACTTATATTTCTACTGCTCATGCTTGTCACATACTCTGGAGCTAGACTGCCTAGGTTCAAATCCTGGTTTTACCACTACCTGGCTATGTGTTCTTAAGCAAGTGACTTAACCTCTCTGTGCCTCTGAGTCCTAAACTGAAAATGTGATGAGTCAATAGCAGTGACCTCATAAGGTTGTTGTGAAGACTAAATTAATCAGTCCACACATTGTACTTAATTCTTGGTACATAGTAAATACCAAATAAATTGAACTATCATTATTATTATAATTGGTAGATATGTGGGGAAATAATCCCCCTAAAACATGGATGTGCGGAGAAGGAAGAAAGAATGAGATAAAAGCTGAAAATAATGGGGGGAACAAAAGTCAATGACCTGTGTCAGGATTTGAGAGACTGGAAATATTTTGGAAGAAATGAAGACCCTCAGAAAAATCACACAAAAAGAATAAAAGCAGGGGTCTGGTGACCTGAATTGTGTGGATATACAGAATCCATACAGTACACTCTAGGGTCAGAAAAGTTAAGTAATGAGTGTGTGTGGCCACAGTTGTAGAGTTCTGGGGGAAAACAAACCTATCTGTAAAATCACTTTCAATAAGCCTAAAAATGCATCTCTCAGTAAAGTTAGAAAACAAAAAAATCCCACAAAAATACATACTTACATCATGCACAACAAGAATGAATTCAGATGGGAAACAAATACATCTTTACACATGCTATTCAAAAATTTACTGGGACAGCAAAACTTCCCTGTAACTAGCCAAGTACACACTCCACTTACTTACCTGCTAGTCCAATAGCTTAAAAAATTGGCTTTTAACCTTGCTTTGCCCAAGGACAATGTTCTCATTCTGAAAGGAGTTTTCAGCCTCAGTTGATAAATGCCTCTGCTTATGTTTTTATATTTTTATCTTAGAGAATACTGATGAATTTTTGGCAGTCAGGGGACTACTAATGAGACACATTGGCTCACAATCTTATCAATCTTTTAAATTAGCAGTCAGATGTCACAGAACGTAGCACACCTTTCACGAATACATATTTGTATTAATGGAATTATTCTGTTCAGATTATTTCTGGAATTTCCTAATATAAAGTGGAATTTGGTTTGAGATAATACTGGAGATTTTATGTGGACTTGTAAAAGAAACTTCTCAGCTTTACTTTCTGTCTTCTGGAACACTTTCAAAACACGGTTTGGGTGGCCTTAGGCAGGGTCTTTTAGAAGGCAGTTTATGTGTGTGTGGATGATGGCCTATTCAAAGAGAAGTGCCAAAGGAGTGTTATCAAAATTGTCATTATATTTGATGTTGCTGTTTGTTTTATTTGCTTTGCAGTAAAAAAATAATATGTCAGTTCCAACACAATTAGAGAATTTTTTAAAAGTGATACACTGATTGGCACTTGAAGGTGAAGTGTAATGGAATGAAACAGAAGTTCAACTTGTGTAACAGGAATCTTCTTCTTCCAAAACCATGTTCCCTGTTGAGTAGCCCTGCCTTCCCTTTCCTACTGCCCTCTCCATATTATTTATTTGGCAAGCCTTGAATATTCTCCTACTGTTCTTTTGGTACTGGGGATAGGAAACTAATATGATATGCATGGTCATTATCCTGAGGAAAAGTTTTTACAAAATGATTGGAGCCATTGAACAAAAAGCAGTTTTTAGATGTCATTTCCTCTCAGAAGGAGCAACAGAAATAGAGTTCCAGTACTATGGGCTGCATTGAGTCCTCACAAATTTGTATGCTGAAGCCCCCATCTCCAGTACTTCAAACTGTGATGGTATTTGGAGATATAAGGCCTTTTAAGATGTGATTAAGTTAAAATGAGGCCATTTCTAATCCAAGTTGACTGGTATCCTTCTACAAAAAGGACATTTAGTCACACAAGGGAACGTAAGGGATGCACAAGCACTTGGGACGATCATCTGAAAACACAGGGAGGAGGCCATCTACAGACAGGGAGAGAGGTCTTCAGGAGAAACTGCTCCCAACTGGGTCCTTGGACCCTTTAATCAAGAAATTGATAAGAGGCCAGATAAGAAATTCACACAAGACTTTATTGGGGGCTGCAGCTCAAAGGTACAAAAACAGGTAACAAGTGCCCTGCTCACTCCCAGAGGAGGGACGAGCTGGTTCTTTGCCTGTGGTGACAACAGGAGTGGTCTGCAGGTTGGGCAGGAAGAGTGGCTTATGTGGTCTGCCCACCCCTTGGTGGTGCTGTGTGCAGGGACCCTGGGCAGTACCTGCTCTCACTTCCAGCATCTCAGGAGTAGCAGTTGGTTTGTGGCCTTTTCATTGTGTTTGTAATTGCCCCCACTACACATATGTGCAGTTGTTTTTAGTTCTTTACAGTTTCTTTGTATGCTGTTGCCTCAGGAGATGTCTGTCCAGGTGCAAACACTCTGGTAAAGGGTCCCAGATCCCAGCTTATCTCAAAACTAACCCTGCTAATACCTTGATCTTGGACTTCCAGCCCTGGAACTGTGAGATTCTATTGTGACATTTTGTTATGGCAGCCCAGCAAATGAATGCACCCAGTTTGCTAAATGACCTACTCAAGATGACCTACTCACCACCATTTTTTTGTACTAGACCCTTTCGAAATAAAATTGCACTAGACAAAGTTAAATAGGAAAGGAAAGCTTTATTCAAGGCTATTGATATAGGTGTTAGGTAGTTTGAATAGGAAAAAGGAGTCCAGAATGGTGGTTGCTAAAAGACAAAGAAGGGAAAACCCATGAAAATAGAACAAAAGAAGGTCCAAGGCCTGGAGTGAGGACTTCACTTCTGGTAAAACAAACAGCCCTCCTGGCTAGCCCAATTTACATAGGGCTGGCTCAGGGGGAGGTTAAAAAAATAAATAAATAAATAAATAAATAAGAGGAGCCACAGGAGGTGCTTGTATATATTTGAGATTAATTCTTTGTCAGTTGCTTTGTTTGCTATTATTTTCTCCCATTGTGAATGCTGTCTTTTCACCAGCTCAATTCCAGAAAAATAAACAACCCAATCAAAAAATGGGCCAAAGAACTAGACAGACATTTCTCCAAAGAAGACATACAGATGGCTAACAAACACATGAAAAGATGCTCAACATCACTCATTATCAGAGAAATGCAAATCAAAACCACAATGAGGTACCATCTCACACCAGTCAGAATGGCTGCTATCAAAAAAATCTACCAAAAAAAAAAATCTACAAACAATAAATGCTGGAGAAGGTGTAGAGAAAAGGGAACCCTGTTACACTGTTGGTTGGAATGCAAACTAGTACAGCCACTATGAAGAACAGTGTGGAGATTCCTTAAAAAAACTGGAAATAGAACTGCCTTATGACCCAGCAATCCCATTGCTGGGCATACACACGGAGGAAACCAGAATTGAAAGAGATGTGTGTAACCCAATGTTCATCGCAGCACTGTTTATAATAGCCAGGACATGGAAGCAACCTAGATGTCCATCAGCAGATGAATGGATAAGAAAGCTGTGGTACATATACACCATGGAATATTACTCAGCCATTAAAAAGAATACATTTGAATCAGTTCTAATGAGATGGATGAAACTGGAGCTTACTATACAGAGTGAAGTAAGTCAGAAAGAAAAACACCAGTACAGTATATTAATGCATATATATGGAGTTTAGAAAGATGGTAACGATGACCCTATATGCGAGACAGCAAAAGAGACACAGATGTAAAGGACAGATTTTTAATTCTGTGGGAGAAGATGAGGGTGGGATGATTTGAGAGAATAGCACTGAAACATGTATATTATCATATGTGAAACAGATCACCAGTCCAGGTTGGATGCATGAGGCAGGGTGCTCAGGGCTGATGCACTGGGAAGACCCTGAGGGATGGGATGAGGAGGGAGGTGGGAGGGGGGTTCAGGATGGGGAACACATGTAAATCCATGGCTGATTCATATCAATGTATGGCAAAAACGACTACAATACTGTAATTAGCCTCCAATTAAAATAAATAAATTTTTTTCAAAAAAGAGGAGCCAAAATTGACACAGGGGCTTCTCTTCTCTTAGAGTCTTTTGGATCGGCCTGCCCTCATGCCTCTCCGATGTATTTTCCTTTGCTTGCCAAATAAAACTGTGCTGTAACACGGAACTGTAGTGCTGGTCTGTCCGTCACTTCTGTGGCAAGATAGAACCAAGGAAATTACAAATACCCCTGACACAGGGAAGAGAGACTGAACTCAACTCCCTCAAAAAAAGGCAAAAGAATTTTTAAGCCCTGGTTGAGTGAATGGAAAATTACTGTAGGACTAGGAAGGTTTATCCGGAGAAGGCAATGGCACCCCGCTCCAGTACTCTTGCCTGGAAAATCCCATGGACAGAGGAGCCTGGTGGACTGCAGTCCATGGGGTCGCTAAGAGTCGGACACGACTGAGCGACTTCACCTTCACTTTTCACTTTCATGCATTGGAGATGGAAATGGCAACCCACTCCAGTGTTCTTGCCTGGAGAATCCCAGGGACAGGGGAGCCTGGTGGGCCGCCATCTATGGGATAACACAGAGTCGGACAAGACTGAAGCGACTTAGCAGCAGCAGCAGGAAGGTTTATCAGTGGGATCAGCACAATAGGTT